TCTTCTTCTTCTTCTTCTTCTTCTTCTTCTTCTTCTTCTTCTTCTTCCGCCTCCGCCTCCTCCGTCACCATTTCTGAGTTATTCTCTATGTTCTGTATTTTAGTGCATAAGTCCAAAGCTCTGTCCCACATCTCACTCATAATTCGAAAATCCATCTTTATTTCTTTGCATATATCACTCATCTTTATAATACTTATTGTTCCAAATGTCCAATATCCAGTAGTTTTTGTTTTATTTAAACCAGCATCTCTTTAATATCAATGTCCTCCACTCTTTATTTCCCAATCAAAATCAATCAAAGTCAAAGTCACCAAATAAGTCCAGGGGTAGTGTCTGTTTAATTTTAATATGTTTTCAACTTCCAGAGGTCTTAATCTTCCTTTTATTCCTTTTTTGATTAAATCGTTAGCTTGAAGGGATCTGCAGGATTTTTGTTTTGTCAACCGGTGGTGCTTTTAATCCAGTTTCACAACCACCTTTTTTCCGTTTCTTTCAAAAATCAAATGTTATTTCTCTTTTAGTGTTCTTCCAAATTAATTCATTTTAAATTCTTTTTATTTCCAAATTGTTCTTCTTTCTTCGAAACTGCCGCTGATACAATTCTTTATGTATCTTCTCTGTTATACTCTTTTTGGGGTTAATGAAAATAAAATAGTTTTTTTTCACCCTTCTCCATACACCATTCCTGATCTCCTCTCCTGCACTTCGCTTAGGTGGTTCTCGGCTGTCCCAACTTTGTAGCGGCCATCTTGGCCGCTCTTCTCTCCATCGTGGTGTAGAGAGTGAGCTCGGGGATCTCACGGGGGAGTTGTGTTCTCCCCTGGAACCTCACCAGGCTCCTCTCACTACTTCGCCACCCCTCCAAGGCTGCTTTCAGCTCTGTCCGGAGCCCACAAACGGCAAGAAGCCAGTGCAGGAATGGAGACCTCCATTCCGTGATTCTGGTCCTGTCATGACATCAGCCGGAAGTCTAGGCGGGGTATTTGTTCAAAAGCTTTTTATCACCTGAATCTGTATTAGCAGCAGGGATGGGATGCTACCGGTTCTGCCCAGCTCTATAGAACCAGTAGCTCTGAAGAGCAGCAGACACAGAACCGGTTCTGTGTCTGCTGCTGTTTGGCCCACCCACCCACCTGGGCTGTTAGCTGACCTTTATTTTTCAACCTCAGTTGCTTTGTGTGGCACAGCTGAAGTTGAAAAAGCAGTAAAAAATGCTTTTTCAAATGCTGCGCACCCATGCGCAGCGCTTATCAGTTGTCCGGGCGGCATAGCTTTAGGTTTATTACACGTGTGTGTCTGGCATGCACGCACAAAACATAATCACCAAACTGGTAGTAATACCAGTTGAATCCCACCCCTGATTAGCAGTTTAAAAAAAACACATTTAAATACACAAATGCATTTGATCTATATCCTGCATTGTTTAATAGATCTACTTCCAAAATACATTTTTAGAAGTATTGGGGTAATGTTTTCCAACCAATAAAGACACTGACCTTGTCACCTGGAGAGCTAACAGCCCTGTTCGAGACCCAAGCTCTGCATTGTGGGGGAGCTCCCATTCCCAGGTTCAAGACCCAAGTTCTGCACAACGAGGTGAGCTCCCATTCCTGCTGCAGCTCCTGCCATCTAGCAGCTCAAAAGCATGCAAATGTAAGTAGATTAATAGGTACCACTTCTGTTGGAATGTAACAGCATTCCGTGCACCTTTGCAGTATAGCTGTGCTGGCCACATGACCATGAAAATGTCTGGACAATGCTGGCTCCCTCAGTCAAAAAATAGAGATGAGCATTGTGCCTTAGAGTCAGACACATCAGTCAGTCAGAAACCTTTACCTTTTTACAAACAGAAAAGAGCAAAAAAGCGTTATTAAGTTAGATCTGCATCTCAGGGATATGTCATCCAATAGTGAAATTTCTCAAGTATCTGTAGCTCATTTCAGGAAAATAATAGCTTAAAGCTATTATAAAGCTTTCCTCTATATTATTCTTTCTATAGCAATTAGTTTTTTCTGTTCCTTGCCCAGAGGCAGGTGGTAGTATACAGATTTGATATTCATATCCATAGATGTGTTTATTATTTTTCATATCCAATTATAGCCCTGTGTCCTTAGTAGACTTCAATTTATTGTGTTTTCCCCCCTTAGGTTGCTTATATCAGTGATACCAAATGTATTAGCTGTGGAGATATGCTTTTAAGTCTTCAATATGTTTTGCAAAGCAATGGAAGAGCCACTAATGTAAGCCTCATGAAAGAATTCTTAGAGTTTTGATTCTCTGGCTCGAAGTTTAATACCCCTTGTTGTAGGCAGTCTTAGATTTTGATCCACCACAATTAAAATGGGAAGGTAGTTCACAAATGGAATCCATGAGTTTTCAAACTGGCTTGCAGTGAATCAATATGAGCTTTCTTTGGTTCCTACTATGATGTTTGGCAAATCAATTCTAAACCGTTCAAATTTAATGAAAACTTTCATTATTTACATTATAAGTAATGTAACCAAGAGATTTCCTGTTGTGATGAGCTGAGATGTGAACCAGACAGTTATGAACAGCATGTGATGAATGTTTTAGAGTCTGGGAAATAAGTCAGTCAACAGAAGTTGACAGATGGCATGAGATGAATTTAAGAGATCCCAAGACCCAACAAAACAATGAAAAGCCATTGAGATGATATCCATATTTTTCATGTTTTTGTTAAGTGTAATTTCTGAGTTGTATTGAACAAATCTAATATTACTTTTCACAAACGATGGGAAGAAGAGAAATTCTGGATATCAAGTTTTTATGTTTATATGACAAATACATAAGAACATTTGCAAAACTCGGACACTTGTTGGCTTCACAAAATATAGTGCATTGTGTTGTCTCAACTATATTTAAAGGTTTTAATCACTTTCTCTGGTTTATTCGTTCATGTAATGGTTCCCATATCTTACTGGGATTAACATTGTAATCTTTGCTTCCCCTTCAGTTTGTACATACTGTATTACCAGACCATATAATATTGGTTTTTAATATAAAAAAATAAGTAGCCTAGCTAGTCCATAAGAAAAACAACCCAATGTTTATGTGTTATTTCCAGTGCTGAATGGGAAGAGGGAACCCAAGGATGGCCTGAGTTGCTAAAAAACCTCAAGATACACACATGTTATGATGAATTGCCTCTCTCATCACTGTCTGTCCTGTCTGAATGGAACAAGAAGTCCCCTGTGGAAATACGCAGTTTCTGTTGCTTAAAATAGCTTTGTATTATATAGCAATCATGGCATCTATTGTTTATGATTTCTCTCAGATCTCCCCTGTGGTGATTCTTAACCTTCTTGGCTAGCCAGCTAATATTTTTTATCAACATTAAATAATTTGAGACCTCTGTATTCCTTAAGTTTTAAATTTAGAGAAAGATAATATATGAGTAATAGCAGAGGTGGTATTCAGCAGGTTCTGACCAGTTCTGGAGAACTGGTAGCGGAAATTTTAAGTAGTTCAGAGAACCAGCAAATACCACCTCTGACTGGAGATTTTACAGTATCCTTCCCCTGCCACACCCACCAAACCACGCCCACAGAACCGGTAGTAAAAAAATTTGAATCCCACCACTGAGTAATACATTTTCACACTTTATGTGCATACGCTGCATTTTCTCCAAGAAGCTCAACATTATGTAGATCTACACAGTATGCTAAGCTGTCATATGCTTGACATAGCATAACATGGGAACACAGCCATTGGGACTGATTCAGTAATCCATGATTAACATGAACTCAACCAGTATGTGCTGAGAACCTGAACCCTAGGGCCATGCAGTCTTTAGATCCAGTCTCCTAAAACATGCAGGATCCTGAACATACAGCTAGTCCTCGATTTGTGACCATTCATTTATCAACCATTCAAAGTTAAGACATTGCCAAAAACTGGCTTATGACTGGTCCTTGAACTTAATAATTTCATCGTCCCAAAAGTCATGTGATCGCTATTTGGGTTCTTGGTAATGAACATGTATTTATGATGATTGCAACATCCCGGGATTGTATGAGTATCATTTGTGACTTTTCCATTGACAAGCAAAGATAATGAGGGAAGCTGGATTCACTTAATAACTCTGTGATTTGCTTAACGACTGCAGCAAACCGATCATAAAATGACCTGTAGCTTGCTTAATGACTGCTTTGCTTAGTGATGGCAATTCTGGCCCAATTGTAGTCATAATTTGAGGACTACCTGCAGCATCTCTCTGCAACATTTTAAAGCATTTGTGTGTCATGCCTCCCCCTCCCCTTCCCCCAATTTTCAGATCATGCAGTTCATACTTGGAATCAGCTTTTGGGGGTTGAATCTGAAGCACTGGATAGTCCTATTGAAGTAGCTGCCTTCCACGGTAGAAAACCACAGATTGTTTAATTTTGTGTTTCTTTTTGCAGGTTTCTTACTTACTCCTACCTCCTGGCCTTCAACGCCTGGCTTCTACTAGCCCCGATTACACTGTGCTACGACTGGCAGGTTGGGAGTATTCCTCTGGTTGAATCAATCTGGGATCTGAGAAATTTTGCTACCTTGATCCTAGCCTTCGTGATGCTTCTCCTTTGTCTACATTGTTTTGTAGCATTTAAGGTAAATAAGCTTTTCTCCACACTGAAGTTTACCTTTGTGTTCCAAGCATATGCAGTATGTTCTGTTTATGGAAGATGTTGATTAGACAGACACTTCATGCTAAACCATGCTGGTTCATGCTGCCTTAGAATACAGTATGAGTATAGACACTATATTTTGTAAGTGGTTTGCCCCAAATAATTGCAGACTATTCAAGAAATCACAATAAATTAGGAGGAAGGAACTTCCAACCAGTTCTTTTTTAAAAAAAAATTAAGGAGAGCAATAGGGATTGGAAAGCAAACACAGTTAATTTCATGTTAATTCCTGCTCCAAAATTTGGCAGTTGAATTATGGTGATGTGACTTGGAGTCATGGAGATTTACTAGGGTGAAATGATAGTGCATATTTATTTATCCATTTAAGTGAACTTTGGCAGAACCCAACTCCATCCTGATGCTGAGTGGCCTCCTAATAATGTAAACACAACCAATATATAGAAATACAGCAATAGAAATAAACAAACTAGCAATCCAGACAACGAACATCAGTATTAATCCACTCACATATTCAAAGGAACTGAATAATACCTTTCTTCTTTGAAATAAATTTGTCAGAATTGCTTTGATAGAAGTTGCTTGTATCAGTTTTTATGCACCCATAAAATAGGTCCCTGTGGATGTGATATTTCTGCAAAATCAGTTTCAATTTTTCCTGGATTTCTAGCTGTTGGGTATTGAGGGAATATGTTAGTATTTTGTTAGTATTTTGCTTGGCAGGACCATTTATATTTATTGTTGTGCCTAGGATCCTTCTTGATTACTTAGCCCACTGTAATCTTAATAGAAAACTGGCAAAAGATCAGGTTGCTCTTCCTTAGGATCCCTCCGTAACTAAATTTGATAGGAGTATAAAAAGAAAGATCTGCAGATGGAATGAATGGGTTAAAAAAAGAAGTAAGAGTATTGTATTAGGATATGCCCAAGGCTTCTTAACTTATCATAGCTGAAGACTTGGACTTTCTTAGTTTCACCTATTTCTGATGGGTTTTCCCCCCCTAAAAGATCTTTAAACACTTCAATTTTAACCCTTTTTCTTAAACTTACTTGCTTAGAAATCACAAAGCAAGAGCTCACCAAATGTTTTCCATTGTTAGAAAATGCATGCTATTTAGAAAACATCTGACAATTTAGCCTACACACTGAGTGCAAATACACTCAGAATCTAGTTGTTGGCAATGAAACTTGGATGATGAGCTGTGTGTAAATTTAATCATGAGTACTTTATAACACTCTAGAGACTTGGCTTACACAAAGTAATACAACTAGCAGTGAGAAATATTATGAGACTTTACTGTAAAGACAAAGGAGTTGCTTGTTCTTAGACATGTTTTTTTTTCTCATAAAGCAAAATGCTCAGGTGGCTTTTGCTATCTTCTGTGTGGGAGAATGGGTTGTGTTTGAAAGTATTTTATATCTTGCTCCAAAACCTGCTATGTTGCCTTAAGCTCCATTTGGAGAGGTGCCCATATAAATCAAATAAGGAACAATAATGTTTGTGCTTTTTTTTTTTTAAAAAAAGGAGGCAAATCTATATACAGTATGTCTTTTTACAAAACTGTATTTCACTGAATTAGTGTCATTCATTCTATGGCAGATTTACAGATGCAAACCTCCCCTTCCCAATTAAAAATAAGAATTTGATCAGATTTAACCTGCTACTGTGTCTGCATCTCTGCAAGGCCTATAGAGTAGGAGGAGGAGTTAGAAGTAGAATGTAATGCTTTATTTGAACTATATGTTTGAATTTTGATCAACCATTGTTAAAACACACGGAAGCTCTAATTAAGCACAATGGGCTTTCTGAATCATATTTTGCCATTTTTCCAAGTTGGAGACAAAAGGATATGGTTTGATTGACAAGTCAGAGACTGCAATTGCACTTACAGATTTAAGCATAAAACACAGTTAACTGGTTCTCACAATGCATTAAGTTATAAATGAAGTTCTACAAACCATAGCAGCTGGATTCACAAATTGTGTTATGCCAAAATCAAGGCAATACCATTATCCCTTGGTGCAATGCCAAAGAAAAATGCATCTCTGTTTGATGGTCATATTATCCATTCACGCCTGACCCTTGGTGATACTACGGGCCAAGTCTTTCTACATGTTCCAATCTTACACTGCTTTTTTGAGTTTTTCTATGCTTTGGCTGGTGTCAGCTTTGATAATGTCCAGCCATCTTGTTCTTTGGCAACCTGGTTTCCTTTTACTGCTAATTTTTCCCAACATACCATATTTTTCACATTATAGGACGTACCTTGGTTTAGAGGAGGCCATGACAAAGACAGAAGAGGCAGGATTCAGCACTGTAAAAGGACCCCACTGTGGCCCGTATTTTTCACTCCATAAGTCACACAGACATTTCCACCCACTTTTTTTTTTGGGGGGGGGAAGTGTGTCTTATGGAGCGAAAAATATGATAATTGCTTTCCCCAGTGAACATCCCAGTTTAGTCAGAGTAATTTCATACCTGTAAAGAATTTATGGCTATGCACTGTTCTGCTATAGTTCTAATCCAGTTAGGTGAAATTAATCATGCAAACTATTCTTATATTTTCATTTAAAGAACATCCAGATTTAGTGCTGCAAAGAAAACATTTAACAGGTTGCGCAACAATTAAATATTTCTTAAATTGTACACATGAGAGATTGTTTTCACACATAGTTCAGCTCTGCAAAGCTGGGACAAAGCTCCATCTGGGATAAACCCCATAAAGCTTGGGGCATATCATGTTTAGTGAATTGAGACAACATGCATGGTATGAAGTTGGGAGTCTTAGATTGGATATGTCTGATGAAACAAACACAATGTTAAAAAATTGTGATATTTATGTAGTTACTTACCAAGCACATCTAAATTATATTAAAGTAACCAAAATACCTTTACAATTTATTTATTTATTTATTTATTTATTTATTTATTTATTTATTTATTTATTTATTTATTTATCAAGCAATTATAAGATAACAGGTATAAGTATAAACATAGTTATGAATACATGAAATGGATACATATAAGAAAAATAAAAAGAAACAATAGGGCAGGGATGGTAGGCACGTTGGTGCGCTTATGCACGCCCCCTACAGACCTCTTAGGAAAGGGGTGAGGTCAATAGTAGACAGTCTAAGGTTAAAGTTTTTGGGGTTTGGGGAAGAAACTACAGAGTCGGGTAGAGTATTCCAGACATTGACCACTCTGTTGCTGAAGTTGTATTTCCTGCAATCAAGTTTGGTGCGGTTTACCTTGAGTTTGAATCTATTGTGTGCTCTTGTATTGTTATGGTTGAAGCTGAAGTATTCATTGACAGGTAGGACACTACAATGTGTAATTTTATGTACTATGCTTAGATCAGACCGAAGGCGTCGTAGTTCTAGGTTGTCTAGGTCTAGAATTTCAAGTCTGGTGGCAAAAGGTATTCCCAAGGCATTCCCAAGGCATGTCACAACTTTTGAGCACCCCTAATGTTTGGAAATTGAAAGCTGAAAAATTTGATACGCCCGAGGAACAACCAATAAGATGCATGCATTAGAATCCAGTTACTGGAACAAACTCTTTTTATAGCAGTATTTCTCAATCTTTGCAACTTTAAGTCATGTGGACGTCAACTCCTAGAATTCCTCAATCAATGCATGCTGACTAGGGAATTCTGGGAATTTAAGTACATCTTAAATTTGTAGACGTTGAAAAACACTATCGAAATCACTCTACCATTATTTCCTGTGTTTGAAGAATGCACCAATCCTTTCTCCTTCTTAAGGATCTTACATTCAGAGTTGATGTTTTAGATTTCATTGAGCGTTAGATGGGCCGAAGCATTGCAAGGAACAGCTTGCTTCTATGATTCCCATTACAGAAAAATCTTCTGGGTAGCTGTGGTATAGCTGCCGAATTTTCATTTGTATGAAGTGGTTTTGTCATGTATTAAAGTGAGTAAAGGAAAAGCAGAAGTATGACTCGGGAATAACGAATGGAACAATTCACATAATTAAACTGACAAATTGAAAATGTACAGAAAGTTATTCCAGAGAGTATTCAGAGTGGATGATTACAGCGGGGTTATTGCTGAACCAGATGCATAACTCTGCATGGAGCCATTCTGTCCATGCTCTTAACTTGTCAGTGCAGTTGTATGAATTTCTCTTAAATCAGAAGGGACTGATTCAAGGCATCAGTCTTCCTGTATTTTTCATTCCATTGGTGCCAGACAGGGCCTTTCTCACAAGAAAACTTAGGTATGGGATCCTTTTACAATGAGAGACAAAGGGATAAATCTTCTCTTCCTCGTCATGCAACTCGCATTTTTCTGATTCAGAATGGGACAACTCACCACAGCCAACTTGCTGCAGGACAATTCAACAAATGCAAAAGTTAAGTTAATTTCAATGGAACCATGGCTAATAATTACAAAATAAAGGATGTCAATCCAGAAATACAAGAGATACAATAATTTTGAGGAAAATGTGGTTACCAATGATAATAAAAGTAACTGAATTAAAGAATTAATACAGTGTTGAATTGTTCCTCAGTGAGTTGGCTGTGGCAAGTTGGCCATAGCAAGTTGGCCATTGGTGACTTGCCCTCGATCCTTTGTGATTAGCTCTCCAGAAGCAGCTCTTATTTGAGGGAATGGGAGGGATCACGTGTTTAGTTGTCTGAAGTGTTTGGGAATACAGAACGTTTTTTTCAGGGGGAGGTATGATTGCCATCAAGCCATTGAAAGGCTGTGTTTGCACAGCATTCTAAACCATAATGTGGTTTGATTGGTTTTAGATTGTTATGTCTTATGAATGGCAACTTATTCAGTAAGCCATGTCTAAAGCAAACCATGGCTGAACTCAGAAATGGGCAACTGAAGGCCTTCTCTAACCTGAAAACTTCTTTTTAGAGGCCCCTGGTTTCATGTCTAACTGTGGTCGATGAAAATTGATAGATTTCCTGTCATTTTGAAGAGAGAA